AAAATGGAGACAAATCAGATCAAAAGCATTATACTGGGGATTTATTTAAGCCACCAATTCAATTCTGAGAGCAATATACAATTAAAAATAAACTTCCTCCTCCGCTAACTGCATCCATTGCAATTGTACTGCAAAATGTCCCTTCCATCTTGGTGACCTAGACCAGCTGTTCTCGTCAACAAACACATTCTCTTTGCGTTGGCATGGTTGCACATCTCTCACAAGTACACCACAGAGCATTTTCCAACCAATCATTCCATTCAACTTGATTATTATCATACCCGGAATCACTAGCACGTTCTAGTTTCAAGCGCAGCCATACTAAAGCTCAAAGGAACAAACACATTCTTGGATGGAATGACGTCACGGTTATGCGGCCTGGCCTTCAAGATCCTTTCAAAATGGTGGCTCCCGGTGTCGAACTTTTCACTTCTTTTTCATTGGGATCACATCCACTTCAGAAGCTAAAACAACGATGAGTAACTCAACTCAATGTGAACTTTTTATTGGTGATGGAAAAAAATACACAGTTTTTGGAGTGACCTACTCCTTTAAAGACGCAACCGTTGTTATGAGCACTTCTTTGATCTTGTAGGAGCAGATCTATTAGCAAGCCTGAATGGAGCATAATGCGCTTGGGAGGTTATCACTCTCTCAGTGTAGGGGCATAAGTACGTTTTTACCAAATGACTATGCTGAGTTACTGTTTTTACAGAATTGGCGACCCATCACTTTACTTAATGTGGATCATAAAATCGCATCAAACGCCATTGCAAGGTGAATTGAGCCATTGCTCTCAAAACACATACATCCAGACCAAATGGGCTTCATAAAAGGTAGATATATTGGAGAAAATATATGATTAATAAATGATATTATGGAGCAAATTCAGGTGAGCAACACTCCAGGTATACTAATATCAGTTGATTTTAGGAAAGCTTTTGACTCCCTGGAATGGTGTTGTATTCAAATTGCTCTCAAAAAATTCAGTTATGGTGAAAATGGATCTTCTACATGGACATAGAAAGTGAAGCTTTGAGCAACGGTTTTCCAATGAATTGGTTTAAGCCCTCTAGAGGAGTTAGACAAGGATGTCCACTCTCGTCTCATCTGTTTATCCTGACAGCAGAAATACTATCAAACAAAATAAGACAAAACTCGACCATAAGAGGAATCAGAATTTTTGGCTCAGAGATCAAACTAAGCCAATTTGCAAACAATACTAACTTATTCTGTGCTTATGTGGCTTCTGCTGAACAAGTCAAGTGGAGACAATAAACGCTTTTGGTGATTTCTCTGGATTAGTGCTCAATGTAGAGAAAACAAAAGCATTCTGGCTAGGGATGTGGTTGAATAATAGAACCAATCCGTTAGGAATGAAATGGATGAATACTCCCCCAAAATTATTAAGAATCTTTGTTTCCTCTGACAAAAAAGGTAATAACCAGATGAACTTTAATTTGAAAGTAATGTATAGATTTAGGCCAGCCTAAAAATGTAGCTCCTGGGCCGGGTTGTTCAGAACCCAATTAAGCTAACCCAGGAAAAAGTAGAATTTTGATTCGAGTTTTGTAACTTTGCGGCGAGGTTTTCTGTATATTGCTTGGCCTTCTGTTTTGAGTTTTAATAATCACCATATACTCAAAACAAAGCAGCAAAAAACATTTGTATAAAAGAAAAAGTTTAATTCAGTTAACTTTGAATCCTGGGTTAGCGTTAACTGGCTTTTGGAAAATACTGCCCTGTTTTCAACAAGTTAACCTGACATGAGCCCGCAATCCAATCGAAAACCAGCACTTGGTCAGCGGTCAACTTCAAAAAAAAAACATGTGACCTCGACGAGCTGTAAACTTGAGCCTGCGATATGGTCACTTGATACTGGTCAGCGGATACCTTGTTTTGACAGGTGTCAATTGATCATAACGTGGATGTTCAATATCAAAGATGTACACGGTAAACCAAGGCTGCACTGTCAACCTATTATTTGGAGTATGGCCACCATGTTGCGTGACTCTGTCGTTGTCACAGTTGTGCGTATGCGCCCACAAGCAATACCGCTAGCCATGATAACCATGAGAAAGTCAACTCATGGGTTTCCTTTTCTACTAAAACTGCAGACAAATTTAGACATTTGAAAATCAAGAGGATTAACACTCTTGGGAAAAGTACTAATAATTAAATCTTTGGGGTTGTGTAACTTACATGTAATGTACTCAATGTCAAATGTTAACGTCCCTTAGGAAATAGTGCCAATGGTAATGGATAAAATGTTTCATTTCCTTTGGAAAAATAAGAAGGACAAAATAAAACGGACAAGTATTTACCAAAACCTTTCCAAAGGAGACTTACAGATGGTTGACATTGAACTTACAATAAAATCGCTCAGACTTGCATGGATCAAAAGACTTTTCTGTAGAGATAAATGTAACTGGAAAGTAATTCCAGAACACTTTTTTTGACAAACACAGAGGCCTCAATTTCCTGCTTTGTAGCAACTATAATGTCAAATATCTAAGGCACATTCCAAGATTCTACAGATTGAGACATACTTATAGTTTTGATCACATCAAGACCCTGTACAATTACGATCAAGGAGCCAACATCATTCTCTTTAATAATTGATGGGGAGTTGATGGGAAACCAATATTTCTAAGGGAATGGTTTATCATGCGTATCCACACGATCCAACAGCTTTTTAATGAAAACTGTCAATACCTAACTTTTCAAGAATTTCAAGCTAAATATCATTGTAAAACAAACTTTGTCCAGTTCTATCAAATCTTGAGTGCACTATGCTCCTATGCACTTAAAGGGACAGTGTCATGAATTGGGCATGTACGATGTTTTGTTTGAAACTTGAAAAGTTCAGGTGGAATTTTTCATGTTTGAATTCAGCAAATTCAAAATGGTGTCAACTAGTGGAGCCAGTTGTGGTGTGTGAGTTAGGGTAAGTTGAGATGGGTTTTTTTTCATCACAAAATCTGCTGGGAAAGAACGCCAGTACACTGCCATTCACTCTGTCTCTCATCAGTGAACCCTCCCTCCACGTACACCACATCATGGTATTACAACCATTTCAGTTCTGAAAAACTAAGAAAGCAAGCTTAATCAGAGACGGGCAACGTTTAATATTTTTATCTCCTGCACATGCAATACCAACAATAAAAGTATATTTGGCTTGGTTAAAGATCTAACTTTGCTTTTTGTCAGCGCTTTAACACACACTTATGCATATTCAATTTTGATATCAATAAGTTATATGACACACCAAAAATAAACCAGATTTTATTTCAAGTCTGTTTGAATCGTGCACAGAGTTTATTAAATTTATTTCAGCTAACCTTATTTTCCCTTGGTTATCAAACGTGCAACAACATCTCAAATGTGATCTGCATAGTCCATATAGCTTCTTGTAATGCCAGTGTGGACCTTGGACAAGCTTGGACAGAATGGAATAAGAAATAAAACCACCTCTCCCCCCGAATCAATGACAAACTGGTGCTAAACCAAAAGTGTGCCATTTTTCCCATCATTGAAATGGGGGGAGGGGTGGTCTTAATTTGGCCTTTAAATAATTTTGTCCAAGATAATTTGTAGGTTAGTAAGTTAGCAATTTTTGTTGGCTACTATCTGTTTAAAAACAAAGTCTGTGGAAACCCTCTGTTTCAATAAATCTAAGAAATCAATTTCCTTTCTTGATTTTTTTCTTCTCCAGTACAATGATTTTCTTGTATTTGGCTACAAAATGACCACAGTACATGTTGCAATGCGTGATGGGAAGGAAGTCCTAAACTCAAGAGCATGACATTATTAAGCCATGTATCAAATCATTTTGTATGGTTGTATTACACCTACACTGTAATATTGATTTGTTACTCCATTATTGGAGATATTCAACCTCTTTTCTTAAAAAGACAGAAACAATCAAATATCCTTATATGGGCAGAAAAGTTTTGTTTCAAGTATTAGACTTGACGAATTCATCAACAGGACTCCAAGAAAAACAAGCAGAAAGTGTGGATCACCATTTTTACCTCTTCAAGGTATCAGTATATTAAGTAATACTAAAAGTCAATCATCTTGAGTTCATTAGATTATGGTGTAGACAATTAAAGTTCTACAAGGCTCCTGACAACCCTTCACTACCAAGTTAGGGAATTTGATTAAATGAGAGAAGCCCACACTCAGAAGTTGTTTGGTATACTCTACCTTAGAGAGGGTGTATGTTAGTTAATGACCAATCTCAGCTAGATTCTAAGAGTGAGAGAGATTGGTTTCTAAGAAATCTAAAAACAGCTGAATTTCTGAAATGTGAACCATATAACCAAAGATTCTAGAAATTGAGGAGCAAATTTCAATGGAATGGACATAAATTATGTCAAGGGTTATCCCAAAAATTTTGAGTCGTCACTCAGAGAATGTTTTGTAGTAGACCCAGCTTCAAGCACTCCAAACAGAAAACGAACTATTGTGTCAGTAATGAAGCATAATTTATATTTGATGGCAAAAGGATCATGTTGTCAGAAATTTTCTTAATGAACACCTAAAGCTGACTGCAGGTAATCAAGAATTAACATAATTTTGCCAATTTTGCTTGCCATATTGAGAAAAGCATTTTTAAGTGATAGACTTATTGTGTAATATGTTAGATGAAGAATAAACTGCTGACTACTGATGAACCAAGTACAGTAGTTCAGGACTTTAGTCATTTTTTATATTATTTTCAGTCAGGTAGAAACTTAAGATTGCTTCACGATTGATTTAATTCACCAGGTTAAATTGCAGTAAAATGCTGAACCCATCATGATCACCCATCCATTTAAGGATCAGAGATCTGATGGCACAAGGAAAAAAAAACTACTAACAGTCCCTTAAATTGTAGCAATTATCAAATATTTGTACCCCTTGCAATTTTATGAGTATCATAGAGAATTCAGCAAAAGTTTTGTTACTAACATGGTGGTTTACATTTTGAAATATCTGTATTAGTTCCAGAGATATTTAAGTCTGAAAGACATTTTAAAATAATATGTTAATAAGAGGAATGATGATATCTTACACTCAACCTAATAATATTATTATTTTAATATTTTAAGTATATAACAGAGCTTCGTCAGTTTGAAGCAGAGAATGCTAAAACTTGGTAGACTGATACTGCCATATAATTTTGAACTGTGTCTGGTAAAGACAAAATGTTGCATAGTATTCATGGTTTTTGCATATGCTTGATTCTCCTTTTCTTTTTTATGTACAAAAGGTTTTAAGAGCTCACATCCTACCACTGACTAATGTGGCTTTTAACAAGTCTGGAACAAGGTATGTTTCACATTGTCATCAGTTATTTAGGGCATCATCAGTTATTTAAGTGCTTTATAATGTCCAGATTCAAAATAATAGTTATTGATGTACATGTAAACAGTTTTTTTAAAGCAGAAATTTTTTTTAATAATTATTAATAGTACTTTGAACAGAGTTGAAGCTTTAAAAAGATTTGTGACATGTACACGGATGTCAAGACTTAATAGAAGATGCCTTCTAATATTTTAGACTGTTACAAAATAACAGAGACTCATGGACAGATCTTTTTCACCCAAAAGGCCATTCTCATCTTAGTATAAACAATAGTTTGGGTGGTTAGCAGTGCATTTCAAAATTTTGCGCATGTGCATTTGCGCGAATCTCCAAAAAACCCTTGTGTTTTGTAATGTGCTGAAGGTGCCAAAGGCGGAAAGATAATTTTTCTGTAGCTCGGTTTTTCTTGAAGCTGGTGACTCTGGCAAAATGGGGAAGACGAAGAAGGATACTAACGTTAGAGTGGCTGGGCGAAGAAAACAAGTAAAAGAAAGTGTGGCCTAGCAACTGTGTGTGGTCAACTGTGCATCGATAATATTTCAATGGGTCTCAATGAGTCCAATGATTCCTCGATCGCGGATTCATCGGAGTCTCTGTCAACATCCCTGTTATTGCTGTCAGGTTCCCAATTTTTTACAGAACCTTTCTTTTCTCTTACCTTGATTTTTTTGCCCGCCTTATACGATAGCTATAGCTTCATCCATGTGGCGAACTTTCGCTTCACTCATATATGTATTTTCATTCATTCTTCACTGTTTTCGCTTTTTCGAACTGGTCCATGTTTTTAATGTGGTCTATGTTTACTCATAACTTAATACAATTACACCTAATGCCAAAAATGCTTTGTAGTCAGAACAACAATGCTGATCAACTGAGTAGTCAATTCGTGACATCCGTATAGGTAATTCCCCAGAAAATCATCATGGTTGATTGCATACGTGCCATAGGGCTGTCAATCAAGAGGTAAACTTTGACTTCCAGGAAAATGTTAAACCGCCATTTCTCCCCCAATATTTAGTCTTTTTCAAAAAACTTTTTTCAGAAATTAGAGATTATTCTTCAACCACTACTTTGACCCAAAAATCCAAATTTGAAGAAAATTGCCAACCTGAAGGTATACTGTAACCTTAATCATTTCTTTCTGAAATTCGTGACACTGCTTGATATTTTAGCTATTGCAGTCAGTGGTCATTGCAAAAAATTTTGATTTCAACAGCTTTGACTGTCAAACAACTTCAAAAGTCAGGAACAATAGTGCATTCAAGCAACCTTGAGCAACAGTGCTGTAAATCAAATCACTTTGTTCTTAACATGGCAATGAACTCCAGAGAATCAGTGCAGGCATTTTGTTGACATGCTTGTTAATGTTTTTTGATACACAGGTTAAAATAAAAAGACATAAGATGCCTAATGGCTTATTATTTGGATCTAGCCCACCAAGAAAGAAAATTCATCAGCCAGTTATAAGCATGATATTAAACAATTATTGGATAGGTTTTTGTGATATCCAGAATAATCAAGGTCGAGGTAAGCGTTATCAGCAAAAGCCGAAGGCTGAGGCTGATAACACTAACCGAGACCTTGATTATTTCGGATATCACAAAAACTGAATCTCATAATTGTTTTAAAGAAAATAACGACAAATGCATTAGCACAGTGAACACAGTTTAATTTTGACAAGCCACATTCTTATTTGAACTTGACATTGCTCTTGGAAATCATGCATTACGCACGCAACCTACGGATTATTCACTAATCTGCTTGCAGATTAGTAAATAATCTGCAGGTTGCGCTGTTTCCCAAAATTAATTGTAGGCTTTTAGCCAATGAGAAGACAAATTAACTACAATGTATAATAGTGTATTTTGTTGTATATCTAAATCACTGATTAATCACTGTAACTGGAAATGAACATTGCTATGAAATCCTAGGGTTTGCATTGGCATGTACCTTTTTTATGGAGTTACACACGTAAGTTTACACTTTTGTCTAGTTCTCCTTAGTTCAGTGCTTCTGTGCTAGCTTGAAGCAATGTGGAATTTAATGAATGAGTTGCCAGTAATCGGATGCCCGTGTTTTGCACAAAGAACTCTGGGATTGTCAGGGGGCAAACATTGCAAGTTGCTAGAAGGAAATGTATCGCAAAAAGTTGTTTTGATGTCCAAAAAAATGATTTTAGGTAGAGATAAACGCTTTTTTGCCATTGTTTCATTGCAAATGGATTTGGGCAATGTTGATTTATGAAAAATGTAAATTTTTGTTTGAATAACCATGAAATATGTGATAAAATCTGCCGATAAACTCCCTTGCTTGTGTGAGGTTTATTGCGAAATTTACATTGAAGAGAATATTAAAAATTTTAAAATGCGCCTTATCTTGAAATGCTATCTGGAGCATATGGTAGAAAAGACCCTCTGAGAAGTTAAATATAACTTAGAGAGAAAAGAAGCTCTAAAACAGAAAGCGAAAATGCACAAGAAACTTCTACTCTTTGTCATGCAATTTCAACCGTCATTACCAAAATTTGAAAGCATGATCACAAACAAATGGCATTTTTAAATACAACGTTACTCAAAGAGATGTTCAAGAAGGCACCCTTGATCTGTTATAGAAAAGGAAAATCACTTCAAGAGATGTGCTTGGAAAAGGGAAACTTTACTTAAACACTGGCCACACAGCATGAGCATGAGTCAAGCAGTCTGTCTACAAATTGATTGCCAGCAGGCTCATTTCCAGTATATTATTATTTGTAGAATGGAGTTTTAAAATAAGCCAAAAGTAGCCTGTGCACAATTTAAAAGGTTTTACTGGGTATTTCCTCTCGATTTATAGCTAGTTTTGTAGTATTTTAAGACCATTACACAATGTAAATTTTCCAATAAACCTCAGGCAAGCAAGGGAGTTTATCAGTAGATTTTATCACCAATTTCACGGTTATTCAAACTTCAAAAACTTACATTTTTCACATGTCAACATTGTCCAAAACCTTTGGTTTTTCCGTTCCAGGGGGCTTCACGGTACTCTCATCCACCCCCCACCCCCGGGTCCCCTTACCCTGTGGAAATCCATATCCATAAATAACAAGACGTACATTGAAGTCATTTATTTTAATCTCCTAGGTACTGTTATAAAATTTAGCCCTGGCTATTCATTGTTATATTGTAGACGAAAACGGAACGCAGCATATTTTTTCACAAACAATTGTCAATTAACCTTGTTTTGGTCACACGACGTACACTATTTTATCGTACGTTATTTCTGGGGATATTTTCTAGGTCAGGATCTGCTAGGTAAGAATGATAATGATAATGATAATGATGATGATGATAATGATAATGATAATGATAAAGACTTAATTTAAAGAGGGTGAAACACTTAATAGCCAAAGGCGAATAAACTTGTGGTCCTCAGAAAATAAAAATAAGAATATAAATATATAATATGATCAAAGTTAAAAACCTAAAATTATGAGAGACACAAGTATATTAATTACAATAGGATTAAAAACTTAAATTTAAAAAGTTAAATCCTAAAATGGTCCAAATGTTGCTGTGCTGCGAAGATCATTTTAAATAAATTAGTTTTAAAGGACTTAACGGAGTCTAATTTTTGGTATTTAGAGGCACATTATTCCAAAGTCTTGCTGCTGATACAGCAAAAGAACGGCCTCCTTCAGCCTCATGCTTATAATAAGGGCAGATAGAATTATAGCTGTCATCCTTACTGTGCACGCAAATTCACACGCCACGTCATGCATGGGAATGTGCACTTAGTAATAAAATTTAAAATATTAGGGCAGATGACCATTGCTACAGCTTTGCCTGGATTTAATGATGTTGGACGTTCGTTGACCCCTACTTTTCTTTCCAGAAACAGATTTTGTTTGCAATATCTCCACCTTGTCCAAAAATGAACAAAAAATCAATGTGGGAAGTTAAAAAGTAATTCAAGATTTCTGTCCATGGGACATCGAATCCTGCCATCTTGCGGCTGCAAGGCGCGTGAAACTATGGTCACTGAGTGCGAACTTGTTCTTTAAGGAACCTCACCAGTTGACTAAATCCACTTAATAGGTCCACTCAAACCATATTTGGCAGAGAATATGTCACGTCAACGATCTAATTGCAATATTTTTGGGCTTACAGACACTGTGGCCTTATGCCCTAACAAAGCCTGATTTTTTCAGATTTAGGGTGTTCTTCCGGGCATGTTCTCTCCAAAACAAAGTTGATGACCCCCCATTTTTTTTCACATTTCTGACATAACTAACTCATCATCTTACAGTGGTAAAAGTCTCAGAAAAAAATCAATGTTGGAAAATTTTTGCACGAACATCCTTAAGGCTCTAAGATTAATTTTCCAAAAAATGACCGTGGAAACTTCTAGACATAAATTCATGTCATGTTAAAAAATGAGTTTGAACTAACAACTGACTTAGAAGCACTTCACTCCCAAATGGCATAGCAGTTGACTTTTTCTTCATTCAAAGAAGTTTTCATTCAAGAATCTATGAAACCATTGTAAGTTTTAACGCTCTTTCAAATAAACTGGCCAAAGTTTTAATTTACGCATAGTCAAAACAACATATCAAATTCCTTTACACATGTAGTTACAGCTGGAAAGTAAAGCTGTCATGCAACATGTTTTTGAAAACAGCTGTTTGCCAAATATCACTGAAATTTTTCCTTCAGGAAAGGGACACGTTTAATAAAGTCATACACTTTGTAGTTTGTAAATGAGAGTAAATTGCCTTGGTTAATGTTTTTAATTTGTCACATATTTCAATGACGTCATACTATAAAAAATAGGTCCGCAATGCGTACTTGTGGTCTTATGCTTAGTTTTATTCCATTTGATAAATTAATGTCGGTATCTGGGAGTTGAGTTGCTACAGTGAGATGGTAGACAAGTCGTTACAATTTTTAATTGGGAAACGTAAGAGATTATGGCCTTAGTGAACAGTA